TTTAATTTTTTATTTCTGTAAATTAAATTGTTTACTTACTAATTTTGATATTAACTATTTTAACCAACAAACTGACATTATTGACATCGATTTTGATATAACTTTGAAAATAAAACAAATGAAAGGATAATTCATTTTTCACGATTAACTAGTTAAATTTCGATAAATTTTTTTTTATTTTTAATTTTTAGACGTTATAAATTGAAAATATAATTTGGCGTTTGCATACAAGAATTATAATAATGTCTTTATATAATCACACATGTTTTCAACTCATCATATTTTATCCTGTAGTTGTGCTACTGAAAAAAGGCTAAGTTGAAAATGGTTCACGCTTAAACATAGAGTGATAATTATTGGAATATTTTCTTTAATTCTGATTGCACTCTATTCTATGATACATACATTTGTTCGTCTGTTCACAAGCAATAAGCTCCAATTTGAAAAATTCAAATCGAATAATCGCCGCAAAAGATATTTACAAAAATGTATAGACATTTCATTATTATAAAATAATGAGTAACGCTACTTTCAACGACTATCATTTCTTTTTATTTAAGAGCACATATTTTTTATTACTTTCAAAACATTCTTCAATAAGTAAACTATAATTCACCACAGTTTGGAATTGTTCGGATCTATGCCGAACAAGTTATACCTATAAGAATTAAAATTTATACCTGGAGTAACACCGTAAATTTCATTTTTAAGTTACTTAATTCGATTTTATTTTTTATAAAAGACTAGAAGGTTCACAATTATTCAATTTTCTTATTTCAATAGGTTCTCAGAGATATTACAAAATGGTTGAAGTATGAAAATAATTAATATAATACTTCTAAAATAGAAAAATATATGAGTAACATGAAATCGGCCGGTTCTGTGGATTTGCCCATATATATATATATATATATATATATATATATATATATATAATATAATTATAATGTAAATAATAATCTGTCTTTATTATTTTTTTAGATGCATTGAAGTATAAATTAAAAAATAAAATTTCACCAGGAAGGCGAGCAATGCGGATGAAAAAAATTTGGTATCACATGTCCCAGAAATTAAATGATGTGAAACGAAAGAAACAATAGAAACAATAGAAGTTAATTATTTTACATTATTTTTTAAATTATTTTTATTATGTTTATTTCTCTATAATACGATTTTATTACTCGTAATGTTAAGGAGGTTCTACAATAGATGCAAAAGGCAAGTTCAAGTCAAAAAAAACCATGAGTGCAAAAGAGATAGATTGTCTAGCTATCTCTCTTGTACTCATGGTTTTCTCGAATTTGCACCTGCCTTTTGCACCTATTGCAGAACCTCCTTTATAGACTTCACATTTTACTTGCTTCAATGTTATATTTTTGTAAAATTAAAGTAAAAAATTAAACAACTTTTTCGTATATTTAAAAATATTATTACTTTTATTTTCATAATATGTTTCAGTTGAATAAATATTTTAAGACACTATCAGCAATTAACTAATTATTTTTTGTTTCAACTTTTAAATTAACATATATACCTATATAAATTTAATAAATTAAAACTAATTACTATAAATACATTTTTAAGTTTATCATTAAAATTAATTGGAAATTTGTAAATTTAAAAAAAAAATTTCCACTATTCTTTTTGTTTCCTACGTATTTTCCTATTAGGATCCAACGTAGTTTCCTACGTAGGATACTATCCCAAATTCCTAAGTAGTTTCCTACCTAGGATCCTACGCTGATTCCTATATAGTTTTCTGAGTAGTTTCCGCATTAGGTTCTTATTACTTTCCTATTAGGATCTGACGCAGGATCCAATGTAGGAAACTACTTAGGATTTTTTAAATAGGCACGAAACATTTGCGGAATTTCCCCTTTTTTAAGTATTTCTTTACTCTGGACAACACTTAAACTTTTGTCCTTTGTCCATTGCACTAAGGCATACATTTAAAAACTTTATTTTTTGCTTTAAAAGAAATACTATTAATACAATTGTCACCAAAATCTAAATATAAAAATATTTTTTATTTTCAGAAACGTCAAAATGTTAACTGTTTTTATTGGAAAAATGATTATCATTTGTTTAACAATTATTTTTAATTAAAACACATGTTATAAAATTTCCAAAAAAATATTGAATATTATTATTTTTTTAATGACAATGAACAACAGATAAACATTGAGTGCTGTACAAAAAAAAGAAATATTATAAAGAAATAGAAATTACATAAAAATTTAATTTTTGAATGAAATGTGCAAGACAAATATCTTCAAAATTAGTGGAAAAAAATATGCAAAAAAGTTTCAAAGGATGTATAGATATCTGACAAAACATTGAATTTCTTGAAATACCGTAAAATGAGGTAAAGTCGGCGTTTGCGGGTAAAGTCGGCCGGCGCTTTAAACACTTAAATATTGTCTTCCATTTATTAATTTACATTAATTCTAACTACATTTTTAATAAAACTCGGATTTCTTCTGGAAAAAAGTAATAGTTAAACTTTAAAATGATTTAAAGCGCCGGCCGACTTTACCCTCAAACGCCGACTTTACCCCATTTTACGGTAATATAATATCTTCTTCATTTTATTTATTAATTTTTTTAGTTGAATTCAGCACTACAATTATAAATAAATAATTTTAAGTCATTAAAAAATAATAAATTAAATTTTTTAACTAAAATATTGTTTAAATTAAATAATAAAGAAAAATTATTTACAAAATTTATTTAATTTTTATAATATTTGTTTGTTTAATAAATATGTGAAACTTAACTTAACATAATTCTAATAATACTATATAATGTAAGAAAATTATAATAAAAATATAATATAATAGTCATATGATATTAAAGAAATCTTTTTTTAGTATTTATAAAAAAAATTCATTAGAATAGGTGATTAAGTTCAAATTATTAAAATTTTTTCTTTTTTATAGAAGAAAAAATATTTTTAAATATAAAACAAGTGCGAGTTACACTCGCATTGAAATCGAGAGTTCTGTACCTCGATTTCATGAAAAACTCCACTTTTTCAAAAAAATTTATTTTTCGAAAATATACTTTATTAAAACAACTTTCTGTCATTTTTGTTAAATTTTTTCTATAATTTACGTGTAAAAATAAATAAATTTGAGCCATTTAGATAAAATTTTCTTCGCTTTTGGGAGAAAATTCACAATTTTTTCTAAAATTATCAGTTTTTCCATGACACGGCATGCAAATCAACTCCTATCGTGCTCGTTATACTTTTTGTAATCTACACCTAAAAATAAGTAAAAGTATATAAATTTGAATCCCTTTAGATAAAATTGTCTTCTTTTTTAATGGAAAAATCCATCATTTTTTTTTTAAATTATCAGTTTTCCTTATAAACATTATGATCATCAACTCCAATCGTGCATGCTATATTTTTCCTGTAATCTACACGCAAAATTACATATTTGAACCTAATTTTATCCCTCCAGGGGTGTTTTCGGGAGTCATTCGCAGCAGCTGCCGGCAGCACTCAGTGGTGCTCAAAAGATTTAGTGTAAAATTATAATCTTTTTTTGGGTTATTAATTACAAGTGGACAGTTTATAAAATCCCGTTTTCTAATTGGCGCAGAAAATGCAATCTGCGGCAAATGTGAAACGTACTGTAGGTTTTATCAAAACCTAACTTAACCTGTGCCCATTTTTCGCGAATTTCACTAAAATACCCCAAAATTGTGCTAGTGAAAAAACTCTAGACTTGCAAGCAGCAGCTATTTTATTTTTGCAGGATTCAAAAAAGCAGAAATAACGCAAGAAAAATGGCAGCAGGTATGTATATGTTGAAACAATTTAAACTTTTTTTCTAAAGTAATTAATTTAGTTTTCGAGTATCGGATTAATGCTCTTATAGTCATAAATTAATAAAGCAATTAAATTTGTTGATAATCATCGTTTGTTAATTTTATGCTTGTTTTAATACAAATCAAAAACATGTATCCTGAGGTTAAGTTGCAGTAAGTAATAATTCTTTTTAATTATTAAAAAATTATTTAATCATATATAATTGATTAAATAATATAACTTTATATTTTGTTTTCTTTTGCTATTAACTTTTGTATTATATATAATTTTTTTTTTGAGATTATAGTGACTGGTGCAATTTCAATTTCAGTGCTATTGCACTGAAAATTTGTCGGTGCTAAAAATTTGAATTGTATGTGTTCATTCGCATTTAATTAAGGGTAGGAAGCAGTGAAGTTTATAAACAATTCAAATTATTTTTGTCAAGGATTGATACATTTTTCTAAGGATAATTTGATAAAAAATAACTACAAAAAAAAAAACTATTAAAATTAAAAAAATAATATGTAGTCAAAAATTCAGGGTTGCCACGGGTCACAGAAATCAAGGAAATACAGGGAAAAATCAGGGAATTTTATCAAAAGTCCTGGACAATTGAAAAATTTATAAAGTACTACGGAAATTCTGCTTTTTGAAAATTTTAATTCAAATTCTGACTTAAAAAAATTTCTGTAAAATTTTTTTATAAATAAAACCCTCTTCAAATTTTTTTATTTGAATTAGGAAAAAAAACAATTTCATTTAGAAATCAGGGAAAAGTCAGAGAAAAAGAAAATCAAATTTTTGTGGCAACCCTGATAATGTTTTTAATAATAATGTAATACAAATAATAATTATAATATAATAATTTAATAATAATAATGTCCAATTAATTAAAATTATTTTGCAATTTTTAACTGAAACGAATATAATTTATTATTCTGGTTTATTTTCAACAGATTTCTGATACAATATTGTAATAATATTATTGAAAATAACAGAATTAAAGAACTGTTTTTTCTGAATATAAGAATTACTAAAGAAAGTTATTTTCTTGTGTAAAAAATAATTTAAGATTTGGGTGCGAGTAACACTCGTATTTGTCCGCGATATTTTACACATTTTTTTCTATTTATTTAAAAAATTTTAATTTGTTTTGAAAATAAAATTGTAAAAACGGTCTAATTTTTTTTTTAAATTTCAATAATAAAATAATTGTATGTCCCTAATAATGCCAGAAAAAGAATTTTCGCATGAAAATAAAATAAATATTAAAGGGAAAACCCGGAAAATACTCAGAGCTCGACTCAAGAAATTACGTGTTTGGGGTATTTGGACTTTTTGCTCAATTGTGTGTGCAAAAAGCTGCAATGTTTACAAATAGTAAATAATGATTGTTTTTTTAAATATGCTTTAGCTGTTCCTGGGGAAGAAGCAGCAGCAATAGCGGTTATTGCCGCCGTCAACATGATCCTTGAGGACGACGCCGACGATGAGGCAGAAGATGAAGAAGTTTTGCAATTATTAGCTGCTGTAGAAAGGGATAGACGCGCAGTGCCCAAAACTCAAAATTATTTTGAGGAAATTATTCCCAGATTTTCTTCATCAGGTACAAAAGTATAAAATATTTAACTGCTGGCAACAAAATAATAATAATAATAATAATATGTTGATTATTATTTAAAAAAATAATAATTTGCTTTTCTCGCATCTTTTATCATCTGCTTATCTTTATATATATTTTATTAAAAATAATGAAGGGTATTCCGCCTTCTAAACTCATGCATAACATTTTTTGTACTATGTTTCACAGAATTTCAATCTCATTTTCGTATGAGTCGAGCCACGTTCGAACAACTGACCAGGATCCTTGCACCAGACTTACAGGGTTTGCATTCGGTAGTTCCTGTTGCGAAAAAGTTGTCAGTCGCTCTTTGGTATTTCGGAAATCAAGACGTTTATCGGTATGCGTTTTTTATTTATATATTTACAGGGTTGCCACGCTACCTGGATACCTGGAAAACCTGTAATTGTCGGAATTTTTTTGAACCTTAAAAAAAACTTGGAAAAGTCAGGGAATTAACTTTTGAAACCTGGAAAATGGCAATTTTTGACGAATTTGAATCAGTGACTGATTTTTTTTCCCTGGAAAAGTCAGGGAATTTTGGTACCGGAAAAGCTTTGCAACCCTGTATTTTAATACATTAAAGACATATAAAATTTAATCTTTTATAAAAAAATAAAATTTTGTTTGTAGATCTATATCGGACAGGTTTGACCTTTCCAAGTCAACTGCTTGGCAGTGTGTCATTGACGTTGCCAATTCACTTTGTGCGCGTTCAGAAAACTTTATTCATTGGCCTACTGGACTCGAATTCACCAGATTGCAGCATGAATTTCAGCAAATGGCTGGATTTCCAGGTGTCATTGGAGCGATTGACTGCTGTCAAATACCAATTAGTGCTCCTCATCAAAATCCAGATAGCTACATCAACCGCAAAGGTTACCATTCGATCAACACGCAGGCAATATGTGATTCGAAAAGGCGATTCCTAGACGTTTTCACAGGATCCTGCGGAAGCGTTAACGATGCGAGAGTTTTTCAACTAAGTCCGTTACGAGAGGAGATCATGCGAAACATGGATCAGTATTTTCCGGAGCAGACACACATTCTTGGAGACAAGATATACACTGTGGAATTCTACTTATTGCCTCCTTACAAAAATTTCGGTCAATTAACGGACAGGCAAAAACATTTTAACTTGGTGCACGCGCGAACGCGACAAGTTATTGAAAGAGCATTTGCCTTGCTATTGGGACGCTTTCGACGTCTCAAACACTTATTTTTGCAGAACATTGAATATGCTGCACTCATCATTTTGGCGTGCTGTTGTCTGCACAACATTTGCATATCTTTAAATGATGAATTCGATGTGGAGGATATTGATGAAAATGTTAATGCTCCATGTGACGTGAATGTTCCTGAAAATGTTCCTGAAGACGTTCCCAATGATGCAGTGTCAGGAAATGTCCAATTTGACCCGGAAATAAAACGCCGAATCATTGCCGACGCATTATATGGGAGAATGTAATTATTTTTTTTATCGCCCGCGTAAAGCGCCCCATATTCTTTCGCCGCCGTTATTTAAAAACTTGAAATGAAAAATCGCGTTGTTTAACTTATAAAAAAATGTAAATAATAGATATGTTTAATAAAATTGATATAATAAACTTTGTACATATATTTTGACAATTATTATAATTGTTATTATTATTATATACTTAATTGTTTTATTAAATTTGATGTCTAAATATGTATTATTTATATTATATTAAAATTTGTTAAAAGTTTTTAAATACAACTGAAGACTGTCATTTAGTTTGAAATGAAAATAATACCATTCATTCAACAAGAAAGAAAATTACATCTTTTTTGATTTACATATTTATATTTATGATTATCAAAAAATAAATTTATTTTTTACAAAGGTTTCTTTTTAATAATTTTAGAATAATATTGTCATTCGCAGTACAATTTTTTAAAATATAATTGACTTTTTCTTTCTACGTATATGTATATACGTTTTTCAACATTAATTATATTATTTTTTACAGTACGACATAATAAATTTTATAAATAGACAACATTTTTTTGACATATGTCACATATGTCACCGTAAAATTAATACAACAAATGATATAAACTTTTATTTCAACATTCACTTTAAAAAAAAATTAAAAACTAGAAAAATGAAACACTTATAATTTTAAACGAAACTTAAAATTACCTTTGGCGGAAAAATACTGAATAATAATAATCAAAAATAATATTTTCATTGAAATACTTTTCAGACATTCGTCAGAAAAGTTTATTTCTTTTTAATGGCATCTGCCAAGTTGTTAATTGCGTCGATCATTCGATCGTGCTTCTCCATCTTTATGACGAATTTTTCGTCTGAGCTCGAAATGAATTTTTGGATATATTCGTTTTGTGTTGTACTTTTTTTCTCAATTTTCCTCTTCTTCTCCTCATTCGAATTTTCTGGTTTTGTTTGGTCTGCAATTCGTTTTTCGTAGCCTCTGATATTTGACGCGATGGCCGGAGGATTTATTTGCGGTTTGGAAAACATAATGTTATGCATTTTATCGTAAAAGATGAAATCGGGCGGACTTGCACCAGTCGATTTCACTTTCTGCAAACAATTTTTGTATTTTCTGCATAACCCGTCCCATTTAGACTTACATTTGGAGTGAGGGATTGCATAACCATGCGTCTTTAGCAACTCACTTATTTTTTTCCAAAATAATACACCCTTCAATTTCGATTTTTTTTGGAGTTCGGAGTAATGATTAATTAATGATCGAGTCATTTTCTTTTTCCAAATTATGCGCGTCTTACCTACAAAAAATACAAGCTTAATTAATAAATTAATAAACTTCATGGAACCTAAAATTTTTTTTCTTGATTTGTTGAAAAATGAAAAATTTTCAGAAGACCTTACAGAAGTCATTTGGCCAATATTATATATAAATATTTTTTCAATGTTTTATAAAAATTTGAATAACACTTTAAAAATAATTAAAGCATTTTAATGTTTTTAGGCTTATTGTAAAAATCGTATTCTACAAAATAATAATGACTTATAAGCATTAAAGTCTGATTTTTTCATAGAAAATGCAAGTTGTCAAAGGACAAAAAAAATTCAAAAAATTTGAAATAATTTTATTTAATTTCCTCGAAAAATCTATAACAAATTATGTTTTATATATTTTGTGGAATTGTTTTTGGTATAAAAAAAAATTTCAAATCTTTAAAATTTTTTTGGTCCAACTTTGACCAGTTACATTTTCTAAGAAAAAAGTTGCACTTTAATTAAAAGTGATTCGTATTCTGTGGAAAATGATCTTTAAAATAAAGCTGTAAGACCAAGAAAAAGCGTTCATTATAAAAATTATTCAATTTTTGTAAAACATTAAAAATGACGATTTTTTAAAAATATGTAAATAAAATATTGGTCAAATGACTTCTGTGAAGTCGTTTGTTCATTTTAAAATTTTATCTTCTATCAAAATATGTAGCGAAAAAAATTTTACTTTTCATAAATTTTACATTTTAAAAATTTTTCCATCCCCTGAAAATGGGTGGTCTCTCATTTTTTTTAAAGAACTAAAATAATAGAAAAATCAATAAAATAATAAATCAAAATTCACTTGGATCTGTAGTTCCTTCATTTTCTCCTCCATCATCATCATCATCATCATCGTCGTCGTCGTCGTCGTTGCCATGGTTGTTGTTTTCGTCCTCGGCGTACTTTTCGGTGGGGTCAATTGAATCACAATTATTTGATGAAGTTGATGGAGATTCCAAAAAATCTAGAAAAGAAAATATAATTAATCATATGTGAATGTAGAAATTTCAAAAAAGAGTAAATTAACATGTAAATAATTGTAATAATATTATTAATTGTATTTTGTGACAGAAAAAATACAAGTTTTCAAGATAAAAATTGAAAATCTAAAACAAACATTTGTTTATAGAATTTACATTTAATCGCATTTTTTATATCATCGCATCTACAGAATTTTTTAAAAATTACTTGATTCAATTTAATAAAGTTTATTTTCTTCAGAAAATGAATCTCCACAAGTTAACCGTGGGGATCTTCAAACAAACAAGATATTTGTAAAATATAGCAATTTGTTTAAAAACATTAATTAAGGATTACTTTAAACAAATACATATATTTTCCAAACAGCTTGGTTCTTTGAAAATCCCTACGATTAAGTTTTAGTGAATTATTTTCTAAAGAAAATTAAAATCAAATCATTTTTAAAAAATTCTGTAGAAGCGATGTAATAAAAAAATTTGATCATATGCAAAATGTTTAAAGAAATATATTTTTTTGATTTTATATTTTTTTCTTGAAAAATTGAAAATAGAATATTTAATTCTTCCCTTACGCAAAATCAAATAAAAAATGATTTTAATTTTAATAATAAATAATATAATAATCAACGACAATTCTTACAGTATTGGAAATAATGTTGTTAACGAACCTGGATCAATGTTCTCCTTTTCCGAACTGCGATTCAAAATATCTTCAGGTCCTAAAATTAAAATTTCAGTATGTATTTGTTAGAAAAATGAAACTTATTTTTTAGAATATATTACGTCAATTTTCCAATAAATAAATAAATAAATATATGTATTATTTTAAGAAAACAATTACAGAGTATTGCACTTACGCGGCATTGAATAGAAGACATTTTTATTTCGCGGATCTAGAAAAGCCAATGTATTAGAAGATCGATGTTGTTGAAGTAGTTCCGATTCTGAAAAGAAAGTAAATCATTGAGATGATCAATAATAATTAGGTTGAAATCTTATTGTTAAAGTTGTTTCTATCCTTCGATTTTTTTGAAATAATTTTTAAACAAAAATACTTTCTTTTACGAAAATTTTAAGTCTAGTCCCGTCGTGGATAAATGATTTTTTAAAGTTTTTCTAATTTTTTTTTCAAATTACTGAAATTCAGTATTCAATGGAAAAATACTCCATTTCAATTTAAAAAAATTTGCAAAAATCGTAAAAATTACTTCCCAATAACCAAACTAGAATTAAAAATTGCGTAAAAAGAACTACTTTTGTTTAAAAATTATTTAAAAAATGGAAGGATACAAACAATCTTAAAAATATGTTACTTTTTATATGATCTGTTGGTTTGACGAGGCATTTCTTTACAAATCCGTGAATTATAATTCATAGGTTATTTTTTATATTATGTATTGAAAATTTTTTTATTTTTTCACCTTGTTTTTTATTGACAAAAATTGTGAATTTTTCATACATAATATAAAAAATACCCTACTAATAAAACACTCTCAGATTTGAGAAAAATATTCCCTGAGTTCAAACTTACTTGAATTTTCAATTTCTTGATCTTTTTCATGATCGTCATCATATTCTTCATTGATTTGTTTCTCGATACAGTTATCGTCTTGGAATATTGGATTTTCGATTTCTTCATTCTCTTCATCATCAACATCGTCATCATCATCATCATTGATCACATATTCCTCCTCTTGGAATGATGGTTGATGATTAGTCATGAGATCGACAACTTGCGTGACTTCAGCAGGCGACATATACTGCATCGTTTCGGTTCCTAAAGTAAAAAAATGTCACTTTTATAAAAATCACAAGTTTTATTACAAACAAAAATTAGAAGTACTTGGCGTCAACATGAAATTAATTAAAGTTCAAGTTAATAACATTTGAAGATGATAACAGAAATAAACCTTTTTTTTACTTACCGTCACATTTCAGAACCTCACACAGTATAAATTGATCCTCTTCTCTTACAATCATCCCACCTGTTTTTGGATTAATAACAGCTGTGACGCACAAACTTTCAATTAGACTATTCATTTTGTTTTTAATTACTTTAAAATTATCACAATCACTTTTGCGTCATGCCTGTGTCTGGCACTGTGCGCGCATTTTGCTATCCGGGTTGTTGAATGCAACCGGCAAACATGAACTTTACGGTAAAAAGAAAAAAACGTGGGCAGATATAAAAAAAGTCGCATTGCGCATGTATCAGGAATTGTCCGCAAATAAATTGTGGATGTGAATTAGCCTTTATTTTCAAACATACATTTATGAAAAAAATCTGAGAAAAATCTTTTGAGCACCACTGAGTGCTGCAGGCAGCTGCTGCGAATGACTCCCGAAAACACCCCAGATAACTTCGTGTGGCCGCTGGGGGGGGGGTACATGATGTTTTGCAAAACGATATAAAATAAACGTTTAAATTTTTTTTAATTTTGACATAAAAAATTTATAAATATATACGATAGATGACCAAAACCTTTATTTTTATTAACCTTTTTTTGAATTTTTTTGTACATATGATTCATCTGATACAGTATGATGTCACGTTGTCCTGTTAGTTGCTATAACTCTTTTTTTTTTGTTTTTTGTCAAAATATCAGTAGCCATATATGACATTAAATCGTTGAAGTCGTTCACCATTCGGTGTTTTACAATTGTATTCGTTTTCTCTTTACTTTATTCATATTTTTCTTTGTTTGTGTTATGCGTCTTGATCGTCTTTAACAATGTACACCGGCAAGCAGTACGCAGAGATGATTCTGCTGTACGGTGCGAATAATTATAATGGAAGAGTTGCTGCTCGAGATTTTATCGAGAGGCACCTCGATTGGCCACGACCGACGGCAAAGGTCGTCCTAGATGCAGTACGTCGGTTGCAAAGAACAGGAAGTGCAATGCCAAATCATAGGGAAGCAGGTCGTCCTCGGAACGTGGTCAACGCGGAAAATCGCGAGAGAATTCTTCAGTTGGTCGAAGAAAACCCAGAAGCTGGAATCAGAGGAATGAGCCGTCAACTTAATTTAAGTTATTACGCTGTGCACACGGTACCCTGGAACCAATCTCAACCCTCAACATTCTCCCTTTCAAAAATTCCTGTTGCAACTTGTTCGGGGTACCTCACTGAATATTTTTCAACAAGAAAAATCAAAATCCGTCGGGCGCTTTTTTTTAATTTCAATTTTTGTGATTTTAGCGCCAAATTAAAAAAAACTGGTTTTTATAATTATTTAAAGTAAAATTCAACTTCACATGGTCAAATTTTGTTCCAGAAATTATACAAAATCATAATTCCGGTAGAAATTTTTCTGTAGAATCGAAATCTGACATTGGCTTTCGAATTAAAAGCAGAGGAATCCCAGAAAATCCGGAAAACTGTAAATATTCTAAAAACAATCTCACCGTAGCGTCGTTTTTTCCAAATTGTCTGTTAAATTTTATAAAAATAAGAGCAATTTCAAAATTTATCGAAATTTCCCAATAAGTAACAGTTACATTTTCAAATTTACAAAACAAACTATTATAGAATGAACATTTTTTTGGCAGTGATTAAAATTTTGAATTTAAAAGTTAACAAAATCTAGGGTATGTTTACGACGTTTCTACTGATTTTAAATTTTCTGATTCAAATTTTCTTTCTGTTATTATATATGTAAATATATAAACAATTTTTAATTCGTTTCTAGTCTGTTTTTTCCCAAGAAATTTGCGCCTGCGCCAATTAATCTTGGCTTTTTCACAAAGAACAATTTGTATATTTCGAAAACCAACGCAGCAGTTTTGTGGAATTTACCACTGCTGTTTGTAGATGGCGTAAGGAATTCTGTGTTTAATACAGAAAAAAAATTTCGACACAGAAAACTTGAAAAAAACGACAGTGAGATTGCTTTTAGAATATTTACAGTTTTCCGGATTTTTTGGGATTCCTCTGCTTTAAATTCGAAAGCCAATGTCAGATTTCGATTCTACAGAAAAATTTTTACCGGAATTATGATTTTGTATAATTTCTTGAACAAAATTTGACCATGTGAAGTTGAATTTTACTTTAAATAATTATAAAAACCAGTTTTTTTTAATTTAGCGCTAAAATCACAAAAATTGAAATTAAAAAAAAGCGCCCGACGGATTTTGATTTTTCTTGTTGAAAAATATTCAGTGAGGTACCCCGAACAAGTTGCAACAGGAATTTTTGAAAGGGAGAATGTTGAGGGTTGAGATTGGTTCCAGGGTACCGTGTGCAGAGGACCTTGAAATTAGAGAGATGGCACGCGTACCACCTAACGCGTGTACAAGAATTAAGGCCAGGGAATGCTGCACACCGCTTAAGATTTTGCAATTGGATTCTGCAACAGCACCAACTTGACAACACCTTTCTCTCAAGAATCCTATTTACGGATGAATCGAGGTTCATTTTGTCGTCAAAAAATAAACATCACCACCATTAACTTACAAAATATGCCTTTTTACAAACTACAATATAGAATTTATTTTTGTTTTATTATACCACTATTCGAGAACAAAAAAATAATATGTTAGCTAAAAATATTTTTAAAAGTTTATGTCGATGTAATGAGTAATTTTTAAATGATAGAATTTTTAAAAATGAACATAGGATCAATCCATTAATTTTTTAATTAGGCATCTATTCATTGCTTTTTTTAATTTCCTAAATTTTTTATTTTCTTTATTTTTTCTAATATACTTATTTTTATATCAATGAAGAAAAACTTGAATAAAAATAAATTATTTAATTAAAAAAATTTGGTACCTTTTTCCAAAATTATCAATAATTGATATTTTCAGATTGGTCCCTATAATAACCAAGGGATTCTGACAGGACGCAGATATAGGTTAAGGATGCTGCGGAGATTGATACCCCGTCTGCGAAGAGCAGGATTCACTAATCGTGAAATTCGGTTGATTTGGTTTCATCACGATAACGCGCCGCCACATACACATCACCAAAATCAGCGCTGGCTCCGCCGAAGATTCCGCAATCGCTTCATAGGGCGTGGAAGCAGAGTAGCGTGGCCTCCACGTTCCCCTGATTTAAATCCCCTAGATTATTTTTTCTGGGGGAAAATAAAAAGTGCAATATACAGACATCCTGTTCAAACTGTAGAAGAACTGATGGGCAGAATCACGGACGCTGTTGCAGAGGTCACTCCTGAAATGCTGCAAACCAGCATCAATGATTTAATTCGAAGAGCAAACTTGTGTGTCAAACAAGAAGGAGGGCATTTCGAACACCTTCTAACATAATAACGCATTGGAGCGAAAATTATACTAATTGATGAGCATGTTTAATAACTTTTAATAAAATTTTATTCTCATTTTCTTATAATATTAAAACTTTTTTTATTGCAAATTGAGTTCACATAAAAATAATTTTCAATTTTTCTGCTCTAAATAAAAAAGTTCGTTTTTACTTGCATAACAATTTTTTACAGTTGTTACACATTTTTGTTTACATTACATAAAAAAGTTTTTTGCAAATGTTTTAATAAAAATTTCGTAAATTCAAAAATTTTCAATTTTTTTTATGTATAAATATTTTTGTTATTACATTATAAATTTTCGTGATTTTTTTCTAATTAATTTAAAACTAATTAACAACAAATTTCAATAGTAATTACCGAATTTATTTTAAGCATGATTATTTAATTCAATTATTTTTAAGAAGATGCAAAAAACATCTTTGCCCTGTATGGCGGGGCAGCGACGCTTTTGCTTATATTTTTTAAATGAAGAAAATTACACTACCGCCCGAAATTGTGCGAACTCTGCTTTTTCAACAACTATAAAACTGTTCAAATCTTCAAAAATATTAAAACTAAAATTTTTTCCTCTTTATTTTATTAAAGTTAATAAAATTCTGAAAGAAATGACACCTTGACAAAGAGAATATGTTAATTTTTCAATTAGATATCTAAGAAAAACCCAATTTTCAATGTTTTTACTATTTTTTTTATTTCTCTGGCAAAAATTAATATTTTTAAACGTTCTTAGGCTCATTGAAATCGTATTTTGTTATGCAATTCAAATTATATAAAACAATTCATGTACACATTCTACGCTAGCGTATGCAAACCCTGAAAGTTGGCTCATAAAATGTCAAAAAATTGTGATTAATATTTATATGACAAAAAATGATCAGTAAAATGTATAAATCTTAAATTTACTTACATAAATCAGAGAAGTTTAGAATGATATATTTACTTGATTTTTAAACATTATATTTTATTGTAGAATTAAATTTAAATTTTTTGACATTTTATGATCCAACTTTCACAGTTTGCATACGCTAGGGAAGAATGTGTACATGAATTGTTTTATATAATTTGAATTGCATAACAAAATACGATTTTAATGAGCCTAAGAACGTTTAAAAATATTAATTTTTGCCAGAGAAATAAAAAAAATAGTAAAAACATTGAAAATTGGGTTTTTCTTAGATATCTAATTGAAAAATTAACATATTCTCTTTGTCAAGGAGTCATTTCTTTCAGAATTTTATTAACTTTAATAAAATAAAGAGGAAAAAATTTTAGTTTTAATATTTTTGAAGATTTGAACAGTTTTATAGTTGTTGAAAAAGCAGAGTTCGCACAACCCTGGCGGATAGGTTGTGCGCTTAGCCGACGTTTAAACGTCGGGAAAGCGTCGGGGAGCCGACGTTTTGTTTTTTTGATTATTTTTACAGTTTAAATATAAAAATAAGGTTGGGTAAGTATTAGAATATATAGAAAAAGTGTTCATGAATAAATAGATACCCTATTTATATTGGATTATTGAAAAGTAAGTGAAAAAAAAATTATTTCAAGTAAAGTATATTTTCATGAAAATGGTAAAGATTTTGGCTATATTTAAACAAAAAAAAAGTAAATATAGAGAAATAATAAGTAAAATGTAATAAAAAATAGTGGAAAAATGTAATTATATTATTGAAAAATAAAATTATCATTGAATAATTACACTGGGTTACAAAAAAATGGTGAAGTCGTGTTGATTTAAAATTTTTTGTGTTTATTGAAACT